TGACACTCTCAAATTTTCCATGGTCTCTTAGATGCTGAACAGTTGAAATAAACGTACGACAGTCCGGAATTCTCCGATTTGGAAACCGTTCGCGATACAGGATTTGTGCTTGCCGAGAATTTTCTCCAGCTGCCCCATAAACCAGCACTATATCCGTTAGTTCAATATTCGTAAATAGTGGCATCGTAAAAAAATATTTAAAAGTAATCGTAACAACACTTTTTACCAACTTGGAAATGACGCGCTCGTGTTAGCCAGATTCGTAAATCAACTAAAATTTTAATAATCTATAGTTTCAAAAATGTATAGTTTAAAAACAATCATTTATCAAATATTCTAGTTTTTTGATAACGAGGGTAGTAAAAACCAGTCTTCGGAAATAGAAATTAATTCGAAAATCTTGGCAACATGGTTATTTCTTACAAGACTAGTTTTCTTATCATCTGACAAAAACTTGCATATTAATTACTGTTGATGTTTAAAATAGGTAAATAAACCTAATTTATATAGGTCATCCTCAACATATCAGTGAAGTACGTTTGTTTTAGAATTAATTTTCAAAAATTAATAACTCCCTTAATAAGGGGTATTTTTAAAAAATAATATTTTTCTACATTCAGTGGGGATCTGCGCAATAGCCAGTTTTAATATGTACGTGTATTTCAATAACACCCTGTATACATAGTTGAAGCTCAGAAACTAGAGCTGATAAAAATCTTCTAATTATATTTTTGAAAATAGCAACATCTGAAATTTCTTCGGCAACAGATGTACTGTAAACTAGTGTAATAATTTGCATGTTTTTCTATGGCTACACTTTAAAATTATTTTGAAATAGGTATACATGATGTCCAAAAATTGTGACATATTAAATTTATGTTTTAATATGGAATTAAAAGCCTAGTTTTGATAAATATAAGCATGAATTTATCTTTGTGTTCTTGTACTCTGAAATTTCAATGCTTGAGGTAACATTTGTATTTGAATGTAATACAATAATATAAAATTAAATCGAATTCTTTTACAACATTGAAGCAAGTACATGCTTGTCAGTTTTAAAAATATAATGTACCTACTTATAAAAAATTTAAAAATTAACAATGCTAGACCCGTGAGAAATAATTGACTCTCAGATTAATTATTATAAATCTTAAAATATACAAGATTATGCCTATTTTATTTTCTTATCTTATAGAAAAATATTATTTGGAGCAATCTTCCAAATCCAAATATTTCCTTAAATACATATATTATGTTCATTCTTTCTTTGTTCGATTACTTTTTCTATAAAACAGCTTTAGTTGTATTCATTATTGAAGTGTTTTAATTGTAAATATATTGAGGTTATTAATATTGAAATTACTAAGGCATATAAATAATAGGTATACAAAATTTCCGTTCTCATCGAATCATCGCGGAGACTTCAACGCCGCATCAGAACCGAAACCCTCCGCCACAGTCCATCTTTCGTCGCAGGATCAATTTATAGCAGGACAATTATGAAAATATTATTGCGTATTCCAGTACGTGCTCATCAACAAATGACCCGCGAATAGACAAGACAATAGAGTGTTTCTGTAGCCCAGACAATGAGCGACTAGGCCGGTGCCCGTTTCAAACTTGCCGCCGTACCTGTACACTCTCTCGCGGCCCTGCAAGACAGGTGGCGGGGTGCGGAGAGGCGCCTTGGAATGCGGTGGGGGCCGGAGCACTCACCAACAGCTCAGTTCATCTCGAGATCTCAGCGCGAGAGTACCGCGAAGAGTACCGAACGCCCGCGAATCTGATTTCACTCATCTCAACTTTTTTGTGGTACCCCAATAACGCCTCTTTTTGCATGAGACTCTCGAGGGTGCAGTTCCTCGAAGGTTCCTTTGGATATAATATAGCAGTTTGTGAATGTGTGCGAAATGTGTTGATGTTACTGCCACTATTTGGATAAATCTTACGTGTCGATATAAGAGAATATCATTCCTGCAGGTTTGTTGATTTATAAAACTCGTTCCTGCTACTGACTGCGCATTCAATTTCGCATCTAATCGTATAAAATAGCATAAATCAATCGTAATCGATTAAAAATACATAAACATAACCTTAAAAAGATCTCTTTTAATGTATCGTGTCTTCTACTAACTTTTTTTTGTATCGGACAGCGTTGGTTGGGTTTATTACAAATAACACCTGAAGCTGTTTGAGGTTTGGAGAACGGCACATAAAAGAATCTGGTAAATTAGGGAACCATTACAAACATTTTTAGAAAGAGGCCGCACTTCGAGAACCTCGATCTTCCGAGAGAAGAAGTTGCAGAGCATGTTTTCAGTGAAGATAGTAGCGGTTCGTAGCTAGATGGGATGGAAATGTTATCTTTTTTGAGGGGTTGTTCTCGATGTACTAAAGAGGAGGATAATTTTTATTCTGTTAGAATAAATTTAAATTGCAAACCTTTTCTACTACTGATAATCTCAAATATTCATATTAATTTGCAAAATAAACAAAAACAGTTACGTCGAAAATGTTAATTGCAAAAAGTTTCTAGAATTACACATTTCTTAAGAATTAAAATTAACGTCTAGTGTACCGCAGGAATAGCTTCTGGGCCCTTTTATCTAGCAACTTTGTATTCAGAAAATTCATAAATTGCTTAATATACATAAGATTTAATCTTCTGCCAATAAAATTCAATTTATTGTAATAAATTGTAGCTTAACTTTATAGAGAACAAATCAGATTCAATCTGCAATAGTTTTGTTGTCTCTTCGCATTACATAAACTCGAATAACATCACAAACAATGCAGTATTTAATTAGCCTAATTGAAATATTATGTTTTTGATGTTATTTTTACTAATTGTTTTGGTATTACTTTAATAGCTGGTTATAGAAAGAGGATAAGGAAAATATGTTACCAAATATCTTTTGATATGTATGATACGCCATAAGGATCGGTTCTTGACCATTTTCGGTATTTAATTTATATATCGGATATTCACAAGTTATTTAAATATTTCATGTTTTACGAACATACTAATTTTTATCTTGTGAAATGAGTAAATAAAATGTTTTGGGTAAAAGTAATTTTAATAAAAACCAACTCCCAAAGACATTACAAATGGAATTTGCTGATTTTCTTATAGATCATAATCAAATTTATCTGGGACCTCTCCTGAGGTATCCCTTTTCTAACAAAAAAAAGAACCTTGTCTTTTTTTGAAATCGGTTAAAAAGTAAACTTCACTTAAAATGCGTCATTTTAAATTATTTCAATAAGTTACTTAAATTAAATTTCAAAACTGTAATTTTCGTCTAGGTTCATGTATCATTATCTACTTTATATATTGTTATATCAAATATACCACAGAAACAGATACTTTCGTTCCTAATTTAGCCTACAGCAACAAGGATTTTTTCAGATATTTTGTTCCACTAAATATTTTCAACTGGGTATACGTACAGTATAATTATTATTGAAAAATGAAACATAATTCACAATAAATCCAGACATTTTACGTAAAAAAACTGGCTTCTTATCGTTTTGATACTGCTTCATGTAAATATTTCGTCATTATCTTAAGAACTGGTTGCAAAAAGTAGTAATTGAAAATTTACTGTCCGATTTTTATGTTGTAATATTTGGTGTTCCACAAGAATTTGTTTTGGGTCCTTTAATGCATTTGATTTATGTATACAACAAATTTTGACATGTTAATTTGTTGTATACTTCGAAAAATCATGTCTTGTAGGTACATTATTTACATGTTTTTATGAGAATATAGATTAATTAAACTGAAGAGGTTTTAGTATCTTCACTAACTTTGTAAATAACATAACATCAGTTAAATAATACAGAATAATATTTATTATTTTAATGGATTCATATAAAATCAACACTAGTGAACATGTCATTAAAATTTTTAATTAGAATAATCGAAATCTATCTAAAAGCTTTTTAAATTCCAATATAGATATTAACACTATTTATAACCAGTATAAAATCGATAAATTAAGAACCGAAATTATTAGCACATTTATCAAATATTGACAGCCAATTAAAAATTTATTAACACTGTTGGTTTAAATAACGTTGACTAAGTTTCCTGAGTTACTAAACAGGTAAATAAATTAATAATATTTCACCAATGTTTTGTCTCTGTATTTATACGTCTTCAGAGCTAAAGTATATTTATGTAGTTGTGGGTAGGTAAATAAAATACCTACCCAATATAGTACTAGTGAGTTATAAGTATTAACTCACCAGTGGTTCATGACTGGTAACTTATTTCATTGAATTTATTCCATATCCTATACAATTTATGCTTGTTTCAAATAATCAATTTTATTAACTTAACGTATTTTATATGAATAAATTCCAATTATTTTGTTATTTACATAATTATTTTCTGTATTAATGTTAATTAACGGCGTGTAAAAACTTAAATATATATTTTATATATTATTAAAAGAGTGTTTAGAAGTTGTTCGGTTGTTGTAAACAAAGATTACAACCGCAACATGTTAATTTGAATGCTAAGTTGAATTTATTGAAATTTAAAACATAAAATAGTCATTTAAAGTTGTCATTTCAAATATTCTTCCAGTCATCCATGATGATTCTGATTCACAGTTCCCACTTTTTTACCCATTCAGTACAAAAAGGTAATAATACAAACAAATCAGAAGATTTTAGATCCGTCAATATTCTCCTATGAATTTAGTAGCTATTGTGAACAACTACTGAAACATATTAAGGTGAATACAGCGCCCCTTATAATTTTCGAACAAGGTTATTTCAAAAAGTAATTATGTTAAAATATTAAAATTTTGGTAAAATAAATTAGGCAATAATATCTAGAATATGCATATATTTTAAAGTTTTAATTCCTTTTTGAGATACTTCGAAAATTATAAGGGGTGCTGCAATCACCTTAATAATAATTCTATTTTGTTAAATTAAATACTGACACATATTTCCGTTTTTTCCAGGATGAATGAACGATAACGAAGATGATTCCAGTCATAACGCTGGTGTGGCTGGCCAAACTGCTGATCCTGGCAGAAGCAGGCACCGAACACGTCCGCGATCTAGATGTATCCGAAGGAGCTCCAGTAGGTACCAGAATAGGCTTTATAGGCGACGGAGCGTCTCCAGACAGCGGACCACCATATCTAATAGTTCCGGTAGGCAGTGCTGTCGATACAGACTTATCCATAGATCAAACAACTGGAGAAATAAGAACGAAAGTACCATTGGATCGAGAAACCAGAGCTAGTTACTCATTGGTAGCGATACCTATGAGCGGGGATAATGTCAAAGTTATTGTAAAAGTCCTGGATGAGAACGATAATGCTCCGACTTTTCCCATGCCCGTAATGAACATAGAATTTCCGGAAAATACACCTAGAGATGTTAAAAGGACTTTACATCCTGCTAGAGACTTAGATTTGGATATTTTCAACACGCAAAAGTACAATATTATATCAGGAAACGTAAACAACGCTTTCAGACTGTCTTCCCATCGAGAAAGAGATGGTGTGCTGTATCTTGATCTACAAATCAACGGATTTTTAGACAGAGAAACTACAGCTTCATACACCTTGGTAATAGAAGCTTTAGATGGTGGTACACCACCCTTAAGAGGAGAAATGACTGTTAACATCACAATACAAGACGTCAACGATAACCCGCCCGTCTTCAACCAAAGCAGATACTTTGCTTCAATACAAGAAAACGCTACAGTAGGCACGAGCGTGCTGAGAGTAACAGCTTCAGATGCAGATTCAGAAGAAAACGGCCAACTTGAATACTCTATCAACCGTAGACAAAGTGATAAAGATAACATGTTTCGCATCGAAGCTTCAACCGGTCTTATATCAGTCAATAAACCTCTCGATTTTGAAATAAAAGAGCTTCACGAGTTGGTTATCGTAGCAAAGGATCATGGATTGCAACCGTTGGAAGCTACAGCTTTCGTATCGATCAAAGTAACCGACGTTAACGATAATCAACCTACAATTAACGTGATTTTTCTAAGCGATGATGCTACGCCAAAGATCAGCGAATCCGCGCAACCTGGAGAATTTGTAGCAAGGATTAGCGTACACGATCCTGATTCCAAAACCGATTATTCCAATGTCAATGTTACTTTGAAAGGAGGTGATGGCCATTTCGGTTTAACCACCAGGGATAACATAATCTATTTGGTTATAGTTTCTTTACCACTGGATAGGGAATTGAAGCCTAATTACACTCTTAATGTTGAAGCTACGGATAACGGTACACCTCCTTTGCACGCTACAAGAACTATCGATCTTCGCGTTACTGATATCAATGATAATGCACCAGTGTTTGACCATGAGATTTACCACGCAAATGTTATGGAAGTTTCTGATCCCGGTACGTCAGTTCTTCAAGTTTTGGCCGATGATAAGGACGAGGGCAATAACAGTGCCATAACTTACTCTCTTCTTGATACTCCGGATAGTCATTCGGGTTGGTTCAGGATCGATCCGAGAAGTGGTTTAGTGACGACGCGGGTTCATGTGGATTGTGAGACAGATCCGGTGCCTAAGTTGACGGTGGTGGCTACTGATAATGGTTTCCCGCCGTTGTCTGCCTCTGCGACAGTGTTAGTGACTATACATGATGTGAATGACAACGAGCCGATTTTCGATCAAAGTTTCTACAATGTTTCCGTTGCTGAGAACGAGCGGGTGGGACGCTGCATTTTAAAGGTAAGATATTTATTTTATCAAAGGTACAACTTTTTGCTTAGAGGGGAAAACGAATTTGTTTAGTAATTAATAACAACTGACAGAGACAAGTGACTTGACAGTGACAAAGTGTCAAGTTATTCTGTCAACATAAGAAATTAAACATTATTGGTGAAAATGGAGTTATGAGTGGTGGGAAATTTCGAAAATAATTAATTTGTTCACGTTTACAATATTAGATAAGGCACCTTTCTTATGAAAGTAGCTTTTTGTCAAATTTTCTTAAATGTGTATCCAAAGTTACTGTGGTTAAATGATGTTTTTAATATCTATTTTGCTTATCATCAAATAGAATTAGGTAAATATATTATTATTAATAAAAAGTAATGCTAATATCTGTAAACAGAAGACATACCTAGTATGATCAAATATATGGGCCTATTTTGTCTGCATCCAAACGAAAACACTCGACGTTTGTTTATACATTTGATGTATTTAAATCAGCATATTATAATACAGCTTTTCTCTATTTTATTATAAGTTTAATTTTTATGTAGGATAGTCTTAGGAACATCTAGTTTTCTCGGGTAATTGAGTGAAAGCCAATGCCCTTTGGGACAAAATTCTGGAGTAATAATAATTTAACTTGCGATATGTAACTAATTTTACTGGTCATTTGCTGTAAAACAATTATTAAATATTATTTGTAAAAAATTATTGGATATACCATGTCTCAATTTAACAATAAATGTGGAAATATGTTTTTTTTATATATCTTTTTGCACCACCATATGCAAATAACTAACAAGCATAGTGTCGCGAAATACGCGTTTTTAGTGCACGTCATAAGTTGAAGAAGATCATAGCACTGGATACCATACTGTCAACTGTCATTAATGTTCATAAAAATAACATATTAGAGCATATGGATGGTAAGGTAATAAAGTTTATATGTTTCTCCATCGATTTCATATTTTTTTTTTCACAAATTTTTTTATTTGTTTTCGATTTGAAGACTTTTAACGCAGCCTACTCAAACATTGGTTTTTAAAATATATATAATTTAATTAATTGACACATTCAAAGTATATAAGCGGTAAGTTGATATCCTGCACATGTAATTCTATCAATTTCATAATCTTTTTCAGGAAAAGAATTATTTTTCTGTGATTTGAGAAATCCTAACCCAACTTATTTAAAGGGTAACTTTTCAAATGGATTTTAAATCAGTAGCACATGTCCCAGAGGCAAAGTAATTTGCCACAACATGGCTACCTTATTGTATTAAGCCCATTACAATATTTGGCGCAACTGAGAAGGCTCTGAAGAAGCTAAAAATGCTTTTGATCCTAGGCAGACTGTACATCATGGTTTGAGATTTATACTGTTTTTTGTTTGGCCATAATCCGTAGAGGCTGAACGGGATCCTAATTTAAATATTTTACATACATTTTATATTGACAAATTCATATCGGCTGTTTCCGATACATTTTTTTTATTACTGAAAATGCACTGTCAATTAGTTAAATTTAATACGAGTAGATACTAAATTATTATTTATTACTACACAAATATTTGATAATTTATATTTTTATGTAATAAAACTACTTTACATTTTTTTATTTATTTATCTTGCAGAACAGAGTAAACTTTCGAATATTTAATGTATGGTATTCGCAAATATATAAAATGTAGAGGCATAGTTCTTAATATTTCTTCTTACTTCTTCACTTTTTCTTCAAATGGATCAAAACATGCTACTGATTCCATAGTCATAACAATAAAGTTAACATTTTACTTCTTAGTAACATAAAATAACTCTGAGAACTTATATAGAGGGCCACAATGTAGGACCTCGTAACTAACTTTATGATAATCTCGTTTAAAACATTTCACTACATCTAAAGGGAAAATATTACAATTTTCGAACGAGGTATTGGTAAATATTAGTCCTATTATAGAGTAAAATGGATTGTTCTATACGTAAAACATTTTTTTCATCTGAAAAGTGTCGATTTTGCGAGTTAGGAGGTCCTGCCTTGTGGCCCTCGATATATGTCTCGCTTGCTTCTTTTCTGGATGGACCCAGGCATTGATTCATCTTGTTAATATTAAATTATGCTTAGGATTAAGGTTAAGTTTTTCAAATCGCTGAAATACAATTTTTCCTGAAAAAAAATTATGAAATCGATAGAATTACATGTAGAGGTCTTTAACTTACCGTTTAAATGCTTTGAATGTGTCAATTAAATAAATTATGTCCACTTCAAAATACAGGGTTTAGGTAGGCTGGGTAAAAATTCTTCAATTTGAATACAAATAAATATTTTCCTAAAAATATAAATTATGAAATCTATAGAGAAACATATAAACATTATTATCTTATCGTCCATATGCTCTAATATGTTAAATTGATGTCGTTTTCAATATTACGCTTTAATAATGACAGTATGGTTCCTTTGTTGGCATCCATTAGTGTTATAACCTTCTTCAAGCTGTGAAGTTTTTACTAAACACCCGTATTGATGTTCCTTTGTTAACATCTTCCAAGTTAAGAGTTTAATATGGTGAATTAGTGCTTGTTAAAGATTATGCAAATCCCTCATCAAATAGGGCTTATTAATATATCGCAACCCTCTGTAAATCATTCAGAAGAATGCCTCGATTATCAAGATGAAAATAATGTCCAATGTCAGGCAGTTTGGATTATGTTGGACTTGCCTTAATTTTTCTGTATTTTTTCGACAAATGCTTCGGTTTGTTTTATTTGCAACAATAGACAACATCGATAAAATGTAAGGTCAATATTTTTTTTTAATTTATAATATAGTAATATAGTATATCCTATATACCCATATGTACCCAATTTTGCAAGAGTTTGAGGTTATATTATCTTGATAATCGAGGCTATCTTCTGCTCGTCCTTTTAAATTGTATTTTTTACATTCCGAGTTTTCATATTCAAAAGATACTATTTCAGGCAAAACCATTTAAAGAAATGATTTTCGTTGTTTTTTCAAATAAAGGACTTTGAATATATTTGTTTTCATCAATTCTTGACGTATATACGTCCTAAAACTGTTAAAAAGGAATTCCAACGGTTATCGCATACCTATACATACAGGTAGCGAAGAAAAAGGCGTAAAAAGATCTTTTATGCTCTGAGACAGACCTATTCCAAGTACATAACGCGGAAAAAAAGAACAATACGGACAGTTATTTCATTATATTCGAATCTTGTCGACGTCATCCTAGCCGGTGTGTATTAATGGATTTTTTAAAATCTAATCAGGAAGCTCTGCGATTTCTTCGACGAGTAACGAGTAAACGAGTATATTCAGAAATTCAATAGCGTTTTTTCCGATATCGTTCTTTAATATTGGACCATCCGAAGAATACTTATTGGTTTAGTTGAACTCTTATATCTTATTACTCGGAACGGGTTTATAATTTGTTTTTCTTACAATTAGTAAGCATAAAAAATTGGCTCAAGGATCTGAAAACGTTGGATACTTGCTATGAGATGGCGCTGCGATTCATTAAATTTCATCGTGGACCTGTATTTGGGCTTAATGTTAAACGATATGTTGATTGAGACTAAACATTTTCCAAATTGGTACGTTTAAAAGTTTTAATTTTGAGCTATATCTCAAGTTTCAAACTTAGAATATGTGTGAGTTGGTTAATTAAATGGTAGAGAAGAAAAAGGTCTTTTGAATCTCTCAATGATATGTATTTCATAGTTTATAACTTCATATTTTGGTATGCCATATTCTCTGATCTACTAGGGGAACTTGTAGTTTTATCCCCTTTTAGATGAAGTTAGAAATACATATCATTGTGAGATTTAAATGACCTTTTTATTCCCTACTCTTTCATTTAAGTACTTATTTGTCTCTTGGTTAGGTACATCAAAGAAAGAAAGCATTTTCGAATAGTGGCCATTAAAACTTTATTTATTTGTTACTTTCTATATCCTACATATCCGTTAACTTTTTTTTTATTAAATCTGGAGAGAATTTAATAGTTTGTATCAGAATTTATGTTAATTTTGTTTAGCATTCCTACCAAGGTAAAAAATAATTTAAAAACTCTTTATACAAGTAATGTTTTTATAACGGTAGATAGTTTCGGCATCGCCCCCGTATAATATCGAATTAATCATATTACATTTGTTAAATTGTGATTTGCAAACTCGTTCTGTCATGCCATACCACCTGCTAGTAATATAACTTTCATTTCTGCCAAGTGTTGTTTGCTTTTTAATGCACATAATATTTTGTGACCCATTTCCGTATTAATTATTCGCGATCGCCAATTACTCTGGTAAACGTTCGTCTAATACTATCACGAATCTTTTGAATCATTTTCAAACAACCAACAAAGTTCGCGATGATTGATTGTTGGTCGGTATTTAAGTTGAGAGATACAACGTCGTAAAAATTTAGATTTATGTATTCTTAAGAAGCCTACTCGTAGCTGTTACTCGTTTTGATCTTGAGATATACAATATACAGAGGTTTTCACGATGGTAATATTTTTATATAAGTGTGTACATGCAGGACCGTACTTAATTTATTATTTTCTATGAGTCAAGAGCCAAAAAAATGAACCGTATTATCAGAGCTTCTCTGTAATTTTCATTTTGATATTAGCGAAGCGTATTAGAAAGCGTTCATTAGCATACACTATATAAAAAAGTAACTTATTCATAGAATTTTCAATGAATTGCTGGAGGACATCAAGTCCTGTAGAACTATTAACGATTTTATAATAAAATTAAAAGATTTTTGATAGAATGAATGTAACTGAATTTCTGTCAGTTATAATTTTGAGTACATATTGACTATATTATCCACTACAATATTACATTATCGAAAACTCCTTCAGCTGACTATAATAGTTATGGTCTATATATATATATTAGACAGAGTGAAATTATGAAATGATTTATCGTTTCCTTCATGAAAATAAATACAGTATGTTCGCTATACTTACGCGGGTTTCGGATTAACAAAATT